TTTAAAGCCTGACCAACGAATGAAAATAATCACAACAGGTATGCAAACTGAAAACTCAGGACGAAAAGTTACGTATGTGGAATTATCAAAAGACACAAGTTTCAATAAAAAAACTTGTAAGCTTTGGTGGGATCGAAAAGATTTACTGTTGAAAACAGGAACATTATGTGATCGTAAAAAAGGCAAATCGGGTCGTCCAATTCATCAATCATTTTCAAACAAACAAGAAATCGATCATGCAATTACTGTATGTGAAAATTTGCAAATCATAGCAAATCAATACGGCTATGACGTTTATTTACATGGACAAACTCAATTACGTCCAAGAAAACAAGTTGAAACATGGGTTGACGAGCAAGTAAATGAACAAACTTACTTGCGTGGTTTAAAAAGCTGTGTTGTTCCGTTTGTGAAAGCAACTAATTCAAAAATTTTGATGTCAGATTGCGTAAATTTGAATCATACATTACAAATTCAACAATTTTTATCTAAAAACGGAATAGAATTGTATGGTAGCGCTGGATACCATCAGCAGGTTGAAGGTGCTTATTCACCGTATTCTCATGATTGTTCTATATTGGATTCATCCATGTTTGGAACCTTTCAATCTCAAATTGCTAATGAAATTGCAAGCAATACACATTTGGTTGATTCTGATGATATTTTGAACCATATGAGTAAAATAATTCCACAAATATGGAAATCAGATAAATATAAAATTATCGCTAAAAATCACATTGCTGGATATGCAAAACGATTGCAAACAATAATCGACAACGATGGCGGTTTTATTGCTAAATACAAGTAACTTTCTTTTATAACTTGTCTATAAGTAAATGTTTATAACTTTTATATATGAAAAAAAATAAAAATATAAATATGTGAAAAAATAAAAACGTATATGCTTGTTTGAATCCTCACTATATGTCAGGAAAGAGTAAATGAAGCCGTTTAAAATGCGCCGGTTTTCGCGTATTTCATGTGTCATTTCATGATTGAATTTATTAAAATAATGAATACTATATCTAATAACATTAGCGCCGAGAGACTTATAGGGAATTGAGGAGCGAATTCATGAAAAAGGAGGGGGCACGCTGTGATTTTAAAATTTAAGAAAAAAGGTTGGCGCGTCGCGATCGCGAATTACAAATTTAATAAAAATAGCATCGAAACTTTTTGTTGATTTTCATTTTTTGGTGAAAATTTCAGCAATTTTTCAACGTGGAAATTCAAAAAAACTCAGAGTAGTTGGATACACCATCGAAGTACATTATTCGATTCAGTTTGCGACGCTGATTCCTAACGAATAAAACTGAGAATACTAGCGGAATTTCGATTTTTGCGCTCCTGATCTGGAAAATACAAACTTTCTCAATGAGAAAGCACGATAGATAAAAAACAATATGTACTTTTAAAGTTCGATTAATGGCGATTTTAATGAAGCGCAAAAGTCGACTCCATCTTTTCTAGAAAAAACTAGATCAGTTTGCAAAATTATTTCTGAACCTTTTATAGGGTAAACTCTTGTATTTCTCTAAAACTCTTGTAAACTCTTTCGATCTGTCTTTATTTATACAATAAATTGATTCTAAAAATTTTTCCAAAGAGTGCACAACAATCAAGAGCAGAGTACAGGCAGAAATAGAAGAACAAAAAATAAATAAATAAATAATTCGAACATCCTTCTCTTCAGTTTCAACTATTAGATAATGTTTTTAGTTTATAATACTACAATGGAGAATATTTCTCCGCTGTACTCTGACAAAATAAAAAGCTTACATCAATGTTTTTTTATCAGTCTTTAAATCGGATTACGAATACTCTGTAAAACTTAGTTACAATAGTCCTACTATAGTGTATATAGTGTAGCATTAGACTATATTTTTACCATAAAAATTAACTATACACGTCGTTGCGAAAGCCCTGTTAGTGATCTGACGGACTATCTGCCTGAGTGAGATGATACTAGATAAATACTACGGTTATGAAAGCCCTGCAAAACACGATGCAAAAGCCCTGTAGAACAGAAAAAACAGGGCTTTCGTAAAACGAAGGCCCTGAAAATTTTTCAACACGAATCGATATGCTCCCGATTGAATTCATCCAACATCACCTTACACAAGCGGGAGGAGTAATAACATCACCATTCTAATTATAAAATACGAAGACTGAAACTATTATTCATATTATTGTGAATATTTGGATATTGTAAAAATGAGTAAAGAGACGCGCGAAAAAGAGCTAAAATACTAAAACAGATACAAAAAAAGACAATACGCAAAATAAAGGCTGGATGTAGCGTAGTTTGCGGTGGGAAGAAGATTGCTCTTTTCAGAATATTTTTTATTAATTAAGCTTTTAACGATTCTCTTAGAGAGATGACATCAACAATTGTTATCAGTTGTTTGAATGCAGAAACAAAATGATATTGCAGAGACGTTCGATTGTATTTTTTTAACGCGCGCTTTACTATTATGCGCAGATACTTTTCTTTGGACGAGGATTTTTCTGTGCACGGTTTTTTCCAGAATTATGCACGGTTTGCTGTTTTCCGTGCACTAATAAATCTTTCGACTTTTTTGTGCACGGTTACAGAAAGGTGCACGGCAAAAAGAAAGAAATGTGCACGGAGATGTTTCTGTGCACGGTTTTTGAAGAACGAGGTCCATCTGTACCCTGTCGTTTGATTATTAAATTCTTTTTAGCCAAAAAAATATAGCATGTAGCTAGCCAAGTCTCGTTCTTGTGAAACACTAACTGTTGGAAATTTTGCAAATCCAGTTTGAATAGATTTATTTGACCATTCGATTAGCATTCGCTCTATTGTTGGTAAAAATACTGATAATGATAATTTATTTCTTAATGTGTATTGACTTTTTATTTTACCGTTGAGACTTTCCAAACCATGATGAACTTCACTCTACACTAATGTTAAAGATTTATCATGCATTTCAGTCAGTAAGTCTCATTTGCATTAAACGAGACGTCTGTTCGTAGATCATCCTATTTGTTTAGGTCATCGGCATGTAAAACGCAAAAATATCTTTTACTCCTTGAAAAACCGTGCACAAAAACGTCTCCGTGCACATTTCTGTCTTTTTGCCGTGCAACTTTCTGTAACCGTGCACAATAAAGTCAAAAGGTTTCTTAGTACACGGAAAACAGCAAACCGTGCATAATTCTGGAAAAAACCGTGCACGAAAGACATTTTTCCCCTTTTCTTTGCTCTAAGGTATCTAGATTTCGATGTATTTTTCTCTGATAAGAGAGAGAATTATTGATTTCATGATTAGACAAAAGGGGGTATTCTTGTTTCGTCGACAGTAATTGCTTGCTCGACTCGTCGACATGTTTTTAATCAGTTAAGCTTGGTTCTTGTTTCGTCGACACTTTTTTTATCCGTTGTAAAACATGGAATTATAGTTGCAATTATAAGGTTTTTATTTCAAAATGATCATGCATACAATATAGTCTTGAAAAACATCTGACAAAAAGAGATCAAAACTTTTTAACACCTATTGTTTTTGATACCTTATACTCCATTGATCGCCAAAACTGCCGTCTTCTAGATCAACAAGCCGTTATGATTGAATTGGGTGAAGAATATTTGGCCCAGTGTACTCATTGCCGATATGCCTTTTGTAAAAATGCAGTGAAACATTTCACTCCCAAACAATGTGTCCCAAAGACTGGATAATTGAACAATTAAAACGAAAAAAACAAGAACAATTGGACCGTCTACGAGAACAACATGCTCAACAAGAGGCAAAACAAGCTCAAGCTGCTTCGCGAAAAGTAATTACCGTACCAGCTAAAAAGCCTCAAAAATATCTCGAACTCTCATTGACACAAGCTGAAGAAGATTTGTCACTACAAAAAATATTGACAGCGGAACGAATGGATCTTCTCAATACACAACTGTGTCCTGGATGTCATGTTCGTATAGAGAAAAATGGCGGCTGTTCACACATGCACTGCTCGAGATATGAGCTTCATTTTACGTGGAATACGAGCTTACAATTAAAGCAACCGAAAGAAGGCGTTTTCCTCACGGGATCAGACTTTCTTGAAATTGATACAATTAAGCAGCAACTGGATCATCGACCACTAGTAAAAGTTGATGAGTCTTCTGAAAAAGCTGAAGAAGAGCAAGAAGAACCTAAATTTGTTCTTAATAATCAGACAGCTGTTGGTGCAGTCATGTTTAATCGAATGAGAAAATGTCCGAGTAGAATTTGCAAAACATTAATGTTAAAATAGGCCAAGATAATTGGGTTGAATGTAGTGCATGCTCAAGACAATTTTGTTTTCTATGCGGCAAATCGGTATGTGGCCCACGACATTTTGAGAAGTATCAGCGTTATACCCTTTTTCAGTAATGTTTTATTTCAGTAACTCGATAGTGTAATCAAATAGTCAGGTCAAACAAAATTTTAGCATTATTTTTACCTGTCATTGTTTATGAACGTCTATCCAAATGTCCAGATTGAATCATCAAATATACGATATGTGAACAATACAGTGTACAATTGTCCGCCCAGTGCTGCACGCAAAATATCTAATTTTGATAGATGTCCACAATAGTAGACTATCAGCTTATTCACTACTTTTACCTATAATAGCTTACTACTCGACACAATGTTGTGGTAGCAGCAGTCTCATTATGAGCTATCAAAGACGTCGATGACGATGCCTTAGATGACGAAGCCTTAGAGTTCTATACAATCTCTTTCTAGCTCTCCTGTTAATAGGATATATAATAGACTAAATGCTTCATATACTGAAGTTTGAACTCGTTCTAATGTATTTTGAGCGAATACTGAATTTTTTGGCATTATCTGAGAACAGTCTGAAAACCAAAATTTTCGTAAAAGTCCCTTTTTCATATTAAATTTAGTTAGATAAGTATGACGGTACTAAACCGTGAATTATTTTAAAACTAAGGATCAATTTATTTTGTTTTGTTGAAAGGTTTTAAAATATCAGTCTATGCAAGACATGTTAATACTTTTATACGTGGTGTTAAGGGTACTCCTCCCCTCTTTTTGGGCTTTCCGTAGAAATGCTATGGTTCTGTTTCAAATTTTCAACTACTGCTGTTCACCAGTTTTTCACTGTGTCATATTACGCCCCCTTAAATTTATCCGATCGAGTTTCAAGTTTTACCAGAGGTACTCAAGGTCATTCGGCAGTTCACATTTTTGGGAAATTTTGTTGAGACCTTTCCTGGTCGAGTTATAGGAAAAGTACTGAAAAACGTCTCGAAAACCAAGTTTTTCGATTTTAGAACCTTATAGGTCGGTACAGAAAAGTCTAAAATACAATTTCCAAAAATTAACCCTGTAGTAGTATCTTGACTACCTCTGATGAAGTTTTGAACTCGACCGGATGAAATTTAAGGGGGGTCGTAATGTAGCACAATGAAGTCTGGTAGCAAAAGAATAGTTTTCGAGAAAATCGCATTTTGTATCTGTTTGGTTAAAGTATGCGTGGATTTGTAATTTATGTGTATACTTAGTACCGAGAAACAGTATTATCACTGTTACGTGTCATTTTAAGAGAGCCTCTGTCACAGAAAGTTAGAAAATGATGAAACCGATACTTATCTCTAATATTTAGTATAAAAGTACATTATGCCCGTGTTTCAAAATGTTCCATTGTAAATGAATCCATGCAGAATTGTCTGCTGTACAAAATGAAGCTAGATTTATTTTGGGACTACCATATGCGTGGTCTCTTTTTAAAAATACTGCAAAAAATGCATATTTTAAAATATGAAATTTGTAGTTTTCTGTTACTTAGTGCTAAATAGCTACACATATTATTATGTCTAAATACATGATCTTATAGAGAAACATCTCTCTTTCAAATGAGCCATGGATCAGTCATAGGAGCTTCCTAGTTTTGAGAAAATCAAATAATACAAAGATTAGTGAAAATTCACGTTTTTTCGATTAATCGGCGACCCCCAATAAAATGTTTGGTCTCTAGTGTCTTGACAAAACACTTTCAGAAAGAGTTATTGCAGGGTTAGTAGTCATTTTGAATGATCTTTCGAATGACATTTGAACAATTAAAAAGAAGAGTTTACCAGCGGACAGTCTTACTAGGTTGGTTTTCTTGCGAAGGCTCTTTTAATGACTTCGTTTAGCTAATAATGGAAAAAATTACGCCTGGCACCCGAAAAATTTAAAAGATAGTCGACTGGGCTGGGCCAGAAAAGTTTTAGGACTGGTCGAGCCAAAAGGTTTCGGCCCGTGCGGATCTCTGTTTTGTACATGGACCACTTTTTTCAAAGCATTTGCCGCGATGCTTAATTCTTCGAGAAGACTCATCGGAAAACTCTGTAAAACGTCTCACTGTGAAGAAAACTCTTTCTTCTATCAGACTATGTGTAAGAAAAACCTTGCATCTACAGAAAATGAGAGAAAAGTTTATCAGACTAAAACATTGAGCTTTTTAGGTTTTGAAGGAAAAACTTCAAAAATGCAGAGCTTTTTGAGAAACGGTCGTGCAGGGCTGGGAGTGGTCGTACTTTGTAGCCCATATTTTGCTCTACATCAGGCTATGCTCAGCTCAAAATCTGAAATTTTTACAAAAAAAGAGCGAGAGTACCCTTAATCGCATACAGTCAGCGAATTTAGATTGAAGAGAACTGAAAAAAGATTAATTTTCTTCACATGTAGCAGAATAAACAAAAGACCTGTACATAAGACAGGAAAAGCGTATGAATTATAAATTTGGTCGAGAACAGAAGTTTATAATACGTTTTTATGTTAACACATTAAAATTATGATATTTTCATCAAAAGATCGTTTTATTTTTAATGTTTTGCATCCTTTTTAGAACATGTTAATACACATGTAGACAGACACATATAAAGATAAATCTTTTCCAACATTGAAACCAAGATACACATACAGTGCGTGTAATGCAAACTTGTAGCAAAAACGTTTTTATACTTTACTATGTATCGTTGCCTTGAGCTCATTGAGCTGATTAAAAAAATGTATGTTTTAAGTTTTCAGAAACATTTTCTCGTGCAAAGATCGAAAATACTTGAAGGATGTAAAATTCGAAAAATTCTTCAAAAGTTCAATAACCTTTTAATATTTCGTCTCTAGATGATTTGGAAGTCTTCAAACAATTTTGCTCGGGTTCACTGTTAACAAATGAATATTAAAATGGTATTTGCTCGATTTCCAAGTTAAAAGCCTGTCTAGCATGGGCGTGCTAAGCCACCCCTCTATAGTGCAGGCATGCAATTTTGTAAACCTATCTATTTCTTTGTGTCCAGGGCTGAAGCCAAGGGGGAAAACCAGTTTCGGTATGTAACCGGTATTTTCGCTACTCTTCCAAGATGACTCATTTTATTTTGCTTAAAAAGCTCATTTGAGAACTTCTTGAGATCTCTTAAAAATCAGCTTTTTATGAGATCTCCAGAAACCCAGATTTCGGTTCCGACAAGCAGAACAAAAGGGTTCTGTCTGTGGGAAAAGAACTCCAAGAACAGATCACAATTGCTTCTTTATCAGAAAAAATTTCCGAATAAAAGAACAGGATTGTTCTGTTTTGGGAGAAATAAGTTTCAGTTGGTATTTGGGTATGTGAGTGGTATGTAACGGGTATATGAGTATTATATGTATTGTATTTTTTGCGGTATTAATACTGCTTTTTCCCCTTTGGTTGAAGGCCTCTTTTGCACGTCATTAGATTCGCTAAAAGTCCATCTTTAAAAGTACAATTAGCTTTTTTTAAAAGTGTATTTTCCTGCTGAGAAAAATCATTTTTTTCTAAATCAGCGTCAAAAACTGTACATATCATCTTCTCCTTGCTTAAATTCTACGCTGAATAGGTAACACTGAAGGCTGTATGCTTCCTTTCTAACTGAGTTGAAAGAAATGATAAATTTGCAATTCTGTTTACGGTACTTTTTATTGTTTTCGAAAATAGATAGGTAGAAGACAATTTGTGTTCTAATACACTTTGGCATGTTTTTCTTGACCTGTTTCCTGTTGAAACTGGGTCAGTCCATCGTATTCCTTATTATTCCAGTTGAATATCAAATCATCCCCTGTCGAGTCCTTTCCATTTGGATGATATAAATTATAATCGAATGAATTGTCTTCATTTCCCTTAGGTAAGGTAAACATGACGATATTCTGGCTATTTGGTTTTATGGTGTTTTGCAGGACTTTATTTCGGGAGGCATAGGAGACGACAATTTCGCCATTACCAGTTTGCTGCCGATCGTTGTTTTCTAAAACATTATTCTGAAATGAATGTTCGTTTCTGACAGTTCTGAACACGGCCACGTCTAGAATAAAAAAATCTCATGATAAAAGAATAGAAAAGCAATACTAAAACTCTTACGTTGAATCGTAACCTCCAAAAGCCAAACCCAACTTATAATTATTGTATAAATAATTATTCGTAACGAGTATTTCTGATGCTACGATACCCTTATTCTCTGCTCCGATTTCAATTCCCAAGTTCGAGTTGTACACACGATTGAATTTGATGGTGATGTTTTTCGCGCCGTCTACATAAATTCCGGCTGCACTTTGGTCGTACGACGAATTTACATTGTAAACAGTGTTATTTGAACAGAGACCAGAGCGAGTTACCTTTGAGCCCATTCCACTTTCACCCCCTAGACGAAAGAAAGGTACATAATACCTATGGGTGGAAACAAAAATGGAAGGGTAAATCTTACCAATAAAATCAATTGCAATATTATTAACGTCGTGTACGAGATTATACGTTACTTGAAAGTGCTCGATGTTTCCATTCAAAGTAAGTGCTTCGGACCAAGCTGGCTCACAGTCGTAGATTGTGTTGTTGGAGATAATCAGTTCCGAACGGGATTGCTGCTGATTCTTGTTATAAACCGTAATGGCCATCGCCCCTCCCTCATTTCCTCCACCCTTAATATTATGGATTACATTCTGTCTCAGTTCGATAAACGACCCTGAGCCCACGATTCGAATCCCTGAACATTCAACAGCGCGGAGAGATGTTAGTTCAAAACCTATGATTTTCAAATAACTCTTGTCTTCAATGTAAATCAGATTAAGAATGTCACCCACCGATGTACTCTTAGCATTTTGACCGGAAAGGATTACTTTCTCCTGTTGGTAATTTTGGAATGTGATATAGCCATCTTTCGAATTTCCTTGGACGTTGATTGTCACAGTTTCCATGTATGTTCCAGCTCGAACATAGACTGTAGAGCCTGGTAAAGCTGTGTTTGCTGCCTTTTGAACAGTTAGCCATGATTGCGTTAAACTCAAACCCGAATTATTGTTATGTCCAGATTTCGATACATAATACACGTTCGCACATGTTGATGCAGCTACAAAAAAGAATGAGATCAGTCAATAGCAGAAAGCCAGAACGTATTCTTAACATACCTACACAAAGCAGCAGTATCAAACAGACTAACAAATACGGAATCGTACGCATTCTTGTTATTGATAAGTATTGGACAAAAATATGTTTCTTTCTGGCAGCTCCAAACTTGTGTAGTTAATCGATTACTGTTCTTCCAAGCATATACATATACTCGATGAAATCATAGAAATAATGCATTCCTGACATTTAGTAGAAGAAAAATATTTTTTCTGTAGGAAGAAAAACATTTTAATGGTTTCGTTAAATAATATTTACTGCTTCATGATAGTAATTTTAAATGCATATTTATAATGTGGGATGTCAGACTTGTTTTTTTTGTTACTGAGAATACCTGCCAACATTGGAACATAAAAAAATCATACACACTCATTAATATATTCAGGACGAAGTAATATTAATCATTAACGAACCCATCAGTTTCATGTTATTAAAAAAATGAACTTAATTGATGAGTCTTAGAGAAAGACAAAAACATCGTCTTTTTCATATTGTCTGGACCTACCACTGATGAATCACGAGTCTTTATTCAGAAAATGTTTTTGTTAAATATTGCACTGTTAGTGAATAAAGGCCAGTTTAAAAGCTCGGAGAAGTCTAATGAAGGTCTCTTTGTTCAAGGTTTCCAACCTCAGGTAAGATTAGGCCCAACATTTCAGGTGATTCTTCCTCTTCCAAAATATGCGTAATTTTTTCCACAGAATTCAATGTCATTGTCAATACTTATAATGAATGAAATTTTTTAGATCTGTTGTATCTTTATAGCCGTAACCTTCTTCTTAAGCTTCCATAGAACATGAAAGAGAGGAGAAACTGCAGCGCATCCCATGTAACCGTCTGCGTTAAAAATACGTGAGTATACCAACAAAAGGACCCTGCCAGATTTAAAAACTTGGAAGCATCAAAATACTGAATAGCAGGTTCGATAGAGAAATTCTATTGCGCATCTAACCATGTATAAGTTTTGGCTTGAAACTATAATCGTTTCTCAAAAAATAACTTTTTAAAAGCTTTGACCATTTACTAACAAGAGATGAAAAAAGTCAACTCAGTAAGGAAGTATAGTGAAGACATTGTTTATACCGGATTTTGTAGACTGGAAGACGCGCTATAAACTGGCGCTAAAAGAATTAAAAGAACATGGTTGTTCTTTTAGAAAAAAATATTTTTCAAGCAAAACCTGAAATTTTCACTTTTCATATCCTTCACTAAAATTTCTGCAGCTGGTCAAAGGAATACAGTACCACTTCCAAACTTTGTCAAAAACTGGCTGATACTTAACTCTATCTAGCAACATGATTTGATTCTTTAAGATCACATGCACAAACCGGGAAGGCTTGAAGAAAAAATTCAAAACTTGAAAATATCGCTGGTTTTTAGCTCAGCGAAGACTTTTTCACCTCACCTTACGGCTAGTTTCGCCCGAACCAAGCATTTTGAAGCAAAACTCTGGGTACAAAAGTTGTTCAGAATCAAATTCTGTAGTCCCTCACGCGAGAAATTTTTTAAATTTTCTGGTTTGGGTATTTAAATTAAATTTTACGGTTTACTTACTTTTATTACTTCTATTATACAGGACGATATCGAATGTGGAAAGGTCATTGACCAGAAAATCTTGCCAAAAAGGGATGTAAGTTTCCAGTTATACATGATTAGATAGCTCTTGAAATTCTCTACAAAGTAAGCTAGTTAGAATATCGTGACTGGTGGGGTCAGTCATCAAAGACATGTAAAAACGCGTTGAATTTCGGAAAACAGCTGCAGAATACTCATTTAGAAGCCTTTTCTGTCTTAATGAAAAACTATATATTTTTCAAAAGAATACCATTAGCTAGTCCGTGAAATTCTCTACAAACTTAGCTGGTCAGAATATCTAGACAGTTGGAGCCCGTGATCAAAGATGTGCAAAAGAAGCCTTTGGGTGTTATATATGCAGTACAGTGTTTCATAATCATAAAAAATTCCTTTGTTTTTGATTTTTCAGTAAAGGTTCAAACCAATCTGGATATTGTTTTGAATATCCCGAAGATTTTTCTATCAGACGAGGTGCATATCGCCATTTTATGAGAAATCTTGATAATAAGGTTTCTGGAAAACCGTGGATCACCGAGTTACCGGCTTTTTAACATTATGAATATAAATTCAGTTTTCGATCGGTATCGTATTTTCTATGCCACCTTTTGAGACGTAGAAACTTCACCACGATCGTAGAAACTTGACCAGCATCTCATTTTATGAAGAATTGAAGGAGCTATCCAATGATATGGTTGAAAAGCTTCTGAGAGAAACTTTAAGATCACTAGATTTTCAAGAAAACCGGATTTTTCAGAGATGTCTATCTCAAGACTCCGAGGTGTAGCATAACTTTTCTCTGTCGAAATATATAGAAGTCGACGTGCTCTTTCATTCGATACCAACTTCAAGGTTCTACGTTAGGAAATGCGATCAGCAGACGTTCTAC